GGGGTGTTCCATTTGAAAAATCAAAGAAGCCGCTACTTTATAGTAGAAGCGACAACGCCGCTTCGTCTGAAATATTTTAGGCGTGTAGGTCATATTGACTTATGCATACTGTGGAATTTTCAGGTTGATCCGTTGAATAGTTTGTCAGAAATGGCTAATTAACGCTCATCATGAAAAGCCCTGTATAGACATGCTCGATAAAGCCATTGTATAGCGAAGTACGTCTTTCGTTTCTGCGAAGCATCAAGAGAGAAATATGAAAATTCGCCATGTCAGTTTTTGATATTTTAGGTTTCTCGACTGATTTCACAACTCAGAACAAAAATCGTCTCCAAGATATTTGGAAAATGGGACGATGAAATTACAGATATTCTCAATGAAAGATGGCAATCATCTTTATCTGATTTCCTTCAAAAATTTGAAGATTATATTTCACTCTGAAAAAAAGCAAATCGACAATTCAACTGTATTTGTTTTGTGATGCTTCTGAGAGATCATCTACTACAGTAGCAAATCAATTTTACCAAAACAAATATTAGGTTCAAGTAGATTTTGTCAATGAAAAAGCAAGAGTTAACCTCTTGAAGCAGCCTGATGCCACATAGATGAAAAGTTTTTGTGTCCCAACGTTTGGGAACAATTCAAAGCCTCACCAAAAAAAAATCGATGGATATATGTTGACTCCAATGAAAAAGTTGCGGATGAAGCGACAAAAGATATCAAACTTTGGATCTATAACGTATTCGAAAAACACTTCATTGTGGGATATTCACTAAACGCAAACGCAACACGTGTTTCNGGTAGTCATGATCACGAATCTGAAGGAATTTTGAGCCTATTTTGGCTCCTAATATGTTTTACCGTAAAAATGGGGTGTTCCATCGCGAGCGGCGGACAGTGTATATCACTTTGGCCAACTCCATTCAGGTGGTAGGTGCATTTTGAGCATTTCCATCAGTCCAGAGAGTTTCATCGTTCTACCTCGAATATAACGGAAGATACGGAGGTGTTTCCATGAGAAGTGAGACACACTGTATGTTCTGCTACCCCAATATGGCGCCCCAATATGATGAGCAAGAGAAAAATGGCTGCTTGAAATTGATGAAAGATGCGAATCAAGAAATGATTATTATACATTGTGTTATTCATAAGAAAAACGTGGTAGCTAAAAATATCTCGCCTGTTCAACATGAAGTACTACATGCAGTAATAAAGTGTGTTGATGCTATTAAACCTAGTGCTAAATGTGAGCGTCTTTTCAATTTATTTTGTGAGTAACAAAATGAAGACCTTGCGAAACTTTTTCTTCATACTAATGTAAGATGGCTATCCAAAGGAAACTGCTTGAAAAGATTTATGCAACTGTTTGATACTCTTAGTGATTTTTTAAATTTTTTTCCAATGGAAGGTTCAGTTTTGGTGGAAATTATGTAAAACTATTTTACTTACTGAAAATTCACCCCGTTTCATCCCCCGCATCTTAGCTCAACTTCAATATATTTTTCCGTATTATGTGTACTATTTTCTTTCCTTTATTACTATTATTTTCATGCTATTATTAATTTATCCCTTTTTAAAAATAATTCTCAAGAGCCTATTAATTTTGTTAGGGGCTATCGCACTGTACACAAATGTAGACTAGACCACGCAGCTGACCAGTTGTACATTTAGGTTCAAATCTGTTCGAGGAAGAATTGTCAACCAATTAATTTTCCTTGTCATCCTAGGGCAATGATGAGACTAAAATTAAATCGTGAGGCGGGTCAAATTTTTGTTAAGTGTGTTCGATCATTGACAAATTTACTCAGTGAATATTACTGGAGTTTTTTCCCAACACCAAATCGCTATTTTTACACCTCGACACCTCGAGGTGTTGGGAAAAAACTCCAGTAATATTCATTACTACACCAAAGGTTCCAAACAGTACATCATAAATTTACTCAGGTTTCAATTTCAATGAGTGCTCTGGATAATAAGAAAAATGATACCTACCTGGTACGTATCAACCTGATTATTTTTAACTTCTAGTACATTATTAGCATCTTCAACTTCTTGATGGTATTCAAATTTGAATTGTATAGCGAATAAAAACTTCCTATTTGTTGAACACTCGAAGGATCTCACTATACACTGTGTCCAAAATGAGAAAGGCCAGTATTGAAAAATTTCAAATCATTAGAGAATTAAGTCTGTTATATTAGGTAACAGTTACCCATTTGAAGGCTTAGTTGAATGACACTCTAAAATTTGGGAAATATCGATAATAAGCAATACTCTAGTGAAGTTGCAGCTGAATAGGCTAACTTATAATGGGTGATTCTTTTCATTGGTTCANGTGAAGTTTCAGCTGAAAAGGCTAACTTATAACGGGTGATTCTTTTCATTGGTTCATATAAAAAAATAAAATCGGTGATATCGTTTTTCGAAGACGAAAAGTCGGAATAAGTATAGTTTGAAAGTGGCAATGAGAAAGTGCTTTTTTATTTTGATATATCTTCAAGTAACGTCAGACAAGAATTGAACGAAATAGAAGAATTTCATTTTTTTTGAATATCTTCGGGACTGATCAGAATAATCTGAATTTTCAAACGCCATTTAAATTTCTGATTTTATTACATTAGCTCTACTTGTCTCAACAAACAGTGTTTTCCCAATTCAATCAATGAAAATCACCTTACATTTACCTATATAGGGCCACAAAGGGTTTCGTTTTTTTACTCTGTGGCAAATAATATATTTATAGCACTTTTGATTTCATTTGATATGTATTATATCGGCTTCCATATTACGACTGTATTTTGAGTTTTCGAAGAAACAATTCATAGTGAAATGACAACATTAGCTGTTGATGCTTCCAACTCATTATAACAGGAGTTCAAAGTTCAAAAGTCAGATAAACAAATATAAAAATAGCAGTATTTGCATTCTAGAGCGCACGAGATAAGTATTACGAATATTTGTTGAAAAAATGAAAATTGATTGGCATGGATTGGTATTGTGATTGTCATGCTTTGATCATTTCAGTCGCATTCATCATGATTAATTCATCAAAATTAATCTATGAGCGAATTCATCTAATGAAGAAGGAACAAGAAATCAATTGCCGATATATTGAGAATTCAAAGAATAAATAATAGTGGAATTACCTGTGACTATAATATATTCCACATTTTCTGACACTTTGTTGTAGGTAAATTAAAGTCATATTCAAGTAATACTTTACGAGATTTCCACTAGACAGTTTACAAAACCGCTCTGCATGTGATTCACTATGTCTGTTCATTCATGAACATGCCTGAGGAAGCTATTTTATAGTTGTTGCAGTTTAAAAAAATTCAACAAGTTATTCACTAAGCGTGTTCTTGCATGAACACGGCTGAACATCTCGTCTGAATAAATCGGCTCATAAATAAAAAAGTAACGTCAATTTGAAGAATAACATCAATCATTTGTTTTTGAAAAAAGGTAACTATAAAAATACCGTTCAGTTGATTTATCTGAAACTTTGGTTACTTATCGGAATAGTTTTTTGTTCAGTGATTTTCTTATAAATAAAAAATAAACGAATATATCTGAGAGTAGTCGTTTCGGGAGGGCTTTTTCTTCCAGTTGGAGAAGTAGACAGTTGAAACCTTTCATTCTCAAAAATTGCAGACTTTAAATATAATTTGATACCCAGTAGATTACTAAGGCGACGATTAAAATGATTTAAAGCACTTGGTATAAATTTAGTATAGGATATTTCGGCAAACAAATGAAAACAAAGCGTTCATAAATGCAAATGAGTGATAATCAATAATTTTACATAATTCATATTCAGAGTTAATTAGTGCGTACAAATATTTCGAAGAAAATTCATTCAATAAAACAATAATCCTATTAATTGAACACTCCCGTTGGTAGGTTATCCTTTATGTGTATCCATTTTTCCACAGGCTTGTCATCTGAAAAAAGAAGTACTATAGTGACTAGTATTTTTATTGTTGCTTTTATTTTATTTTTATCGTTGTTTTAATAAAATGTTTTCTAGTATTAAGATTATTGAGAATCAACTAAAAAGCGAATGGATGTCATTATGTACTGTCATAGATGGCATAAGTATATTTAACCTGTTTGTGACATAAGTCGTAATGTTGTGAATGAATTGAGTGTTTCATCTTGTAATGTTATGTGATGTTTGATTTCAAAGCTTTTAATACAGCCTTCTAAGGAAACTTTCGTATCTACAGTTCATTCTGGAAATCCGGTAGATTGAAGTTTGGGAAAGAATAATGTTTAAGACTTTGGGGTGGTCTAGACCACTATATAAATCATCCAACATGATTGGGTAAAATGAACTACTTTTTTTATAGTCATCAAAAGTTTTGGATCATTTTCAGGTCAACCCACCAACTGTCATGTATACGACATCCCCTTCAAGTACTACTCCCCAACCCATTCACACACTACTAAACACCACGGGAATTCTGACGACGACTACAGGAATTCCAGTGATGATAGATGGGGACAGTAAAGTGGCTATCAACCGAGTTCAACCTGTCGGTAAAGAACGTGTGGTGAAAGAAGTGAAGAAGAGCGCCCACAATGCAATCGAAAGGAAGTACAGGACAAGCATCAATGACAAAATTATAGAATTGAAGAATATTGTTGTCGGAGAAGAGGCAAAAGTAAGAATATATTTATTAAAGTGTGATATGTTTATAAAGATGGGATATTTCGTATGGTCTGCTGTAACTGATGCGAGTCAATTATTGAAATGAATTCACTTATTTAAAAAAAATCATAACGACTCAAACAGTTTCAAAGCAATATTTTTTTCAAATTAATTCGGATGTTTTTTTTTTAAACTTTTTCAAGCATTTGTTAGCTCATTGCAAAACTTGAAATCTATAATGAATCAAATTTTGACAAATATTTGATTTCATTTTCATTAATTTTAGATTGCCTGAATATCTTGTTGTATGTTTGTGTTGGTCACCATTGCTTTTGAAAGTCAGATTTGANTTGCTTAGCAATGTCATGACATAAGTGATAACTACCCGTGAAAACTATCCATGGGTAGTTATCACTGTAATGATGGTTTCATTGGTTATTTCGACACACATGACTAGAAATAGACAAATTTGATAGGATAATTTTTTTGGCAAAAAATTTTCGTAGTAAGATCTTGTAACCAAAACCACAAATATGTTTTTTTTTGTTTGTAACTGCTCGTATTGGCTATACCATTTTGATAGGAACCAACTAGACTGTAAACATTATTTTTATATATACGGTAAAGAAATGTCTAACTTTCGATTTGATAATGATGGACAGCATCATAATGGCGTTTCCATGATACATTTCTCTTAGGGCGATAAGTTCAAATTCCTGACTTTTTTCAAAGAACGTACTAGATATGATGGAAATGCTGAGAATGGTGAACAACGTTCTACTAACATCATAGAAAAAATACAAAATGAAAAAATGCTACCACAGACACCTCATTCAATCTACGAACTTTTATATTTACATCACACCACAAACTCTATGATCCTATCTCCAAAGAATGAAAGAGAATTAACATACCTCATAAAAGAATTGAAAAATAAAAAATCTGTCGGATTAGATAATATCAAATCAGAAACACTCAAAGCCATAATTTCCCAAATAGTCGAACCACTCATGTACATANTCACTTATGATGCACTGTTTGGAACCTTTGGTGTAGTAATGAATATTACTGGAGTTTTTTCCCAACACCAAATCGTTATTTTTAACACCTCGACACGTGATTCGATCACCAAGTGATCATCTTCAAAGAGGAAGATTAAACTAACTAAAAATAACGATTCGGTGTTGCAAACACTCCACCATCTCGGAAAATGCGATTTCGATTAACTTCGAAGCGATTGTGAACATTCCACAATACTACAATTTCATCATCGGGAATTTTGAATTGGCGTAATTTTTACGGGCATTAATGGAATCGAAAAATTGTTGCAAGGGTGAAGTCAAAGTAAAATACATTTCATATTCGTATTCAGTATTCAAAAATATTTATTGGTATAACATATATTCGAAAACTCTAAAAAATAACTGTGAAAAGAATAATGCTACAGGTTCGGATTTCTATTGTAAGAAAGTGTTGATAGATTTGATATCTATGAGAAAAAATGAGGAAAGAATGAAATGACAATATTAAAATCTTCAAAATACCAGTTGTTTCTTTGTTTGATCAAACTGAATTTTGTAGCGTTAACCTTGTTAATAAAACACTACTTTAACATTTAACTATTTGCTTCGATAGCAGATATTGGAATATTTTTACAATGCGTGAATATGGAAGAGAATAAACAAATGTTTAATTATTGCCGTTTACGATAGAACTAATACTTACTAATAGACATTGAACCGATCAACGCTTGCTCGAGAGAGATGAACCGTGAGAGGTTCAAGTGTTCTGGAATGCCTGTACAGGGTGGTATGAGATATAGGAAAATAAAAGATTAATGAAAAAATGAATTAAACAAACTCTCACCGTACACCAGTAGTTACCCAAATATTCCAAAAACATAGTTGAGGAAATGAAATAATATCTTGGAGAATATGAAGAATAAACAATGATTATGCAATTGAAAAATAGAATTATGTTAATTTGTACAGAACACAATCATGACTTGAAATAAAAAATAAGTAATGAATGTGCTGAATCATAATTAATTTATAATGTACATGTATTGAAATTGAAAAAAAAATGATAATAATAGAGGATGAACAAAGGAAAATTATAAAAATTTAAAAATATCTGAGATATTTCGAAAATAAAACATAAGAAATAATCATCTTTTTGATTCATCTAAATTATTTATAGTTTAGATGGCTTTTTTCTCCTTTATATTTGAAAATAACTTCTATGCATGACCCTCATATCTCAATAAAGTTTATTTTGAACCGCTTTCTCTCTTTCTTTGGGAATTTTCTACATTTTTGTATGAAGGTAGAAAAGTGGAAAGTCTCTATTATTGCATTTCCAACAACCAATCCCTTTTAAACGTATACCCCCCTCCCTCTAAAAATTGGATTTTCATATCTATATACAGTAAGTAATATTGAAAAAGTAGGACACGGCCTATATAATGATAACTACCCATGGATAAGGAGACTTTAATTTATGACATTAAAAATAAAATAAATACAACAATGAAAATTAATTGGCGCTCCGGGGCGACTTCATTGATTCCATATAATTAGAAGCTAAATTGTATTTCATCTGAAAAATTATGATGTGCTTTACTGAAAACATATTTTCCACCATGAAATGAAATAGGCGATCTAAAATAAAAAATTGATGAAAAATCTCATAGTTTTCAAACATGTTTAATTTTATTTTGGGAGTTAACTATATTTTCATTTTCAACTCTTTCTTTCACAGTTAGTTTCCGGAATTTTTCTGAATAACTCATCCGCGAAGATGTTAGTTCTTGCTTCCAATTGAAGGTATCTACTCACTCTCCGAAACCAACGGCTATCAATGTCTCCGAATATTTATTTCATTTTCATCAATCAAAGGTTGTCCTTTTTTTGAATCACCTAAACTGTACTAGCAACTGACGATAAACCAGAAACACTTGTTTGAACTTCACAGTTCTGAGTGCTTCGTTCATGAATTCCAATATTTAATAACAACCATCAGAATCTATGTGTAATCCAAGGTTATCTGACTGAAACCACGATGAGTGGCTGGCTTCTGTTGCTCAAACCATAACTATCGCGTTGTTTCTCAAAATCAAGTGTTGCTAATCCTTGCATTTGGCTACAATTTCAAATAACACCTGCTAACTTCATCTTCATTTTTTCTGATTACTAGGACTCAAATGTCGCAGTTATAGCAGTGATCATAGCAGCCGCCGTGATGATTTTACTATTGTTTTTACGAGCTCAAGATCATCTAATCAAATTTACAAATATGCAGCTTGACTCTGTTACTCTCCATATTGACTACACCCTATCGTTCTCTAGAATGTATAAGATATTCAATTACCTTCAAATTTGTTTTAGATTCAGGATCTGTAGACAGATAGCTTCACCTGCTTCTGAGATAATTCGAGAATTTTCATAGTAATCACGAGATCTTATAGGCAAATGGTGCAGAGGCGTATGTTGTTTTTGCTACCAATTTTGAGACGCACATTGCTAAAGATTCTTCGTGGTAATTTCAGTGGTTTCTTTATGGAAATGAGATTTTCTGAGCATCTTTGCATAAGGGCTACACTATATTGATGGATGCTAACTGACACTCAACATGTTTCATGTATTTGCTTGAGGATTCATGGACAAAGCACACAAACCGCTAACACGGGTTTCTGGCTTATTTTATTTCACAGGCCTTCAACTAACAAGTCTTGTGTTGGGTACAATGAGGAGTAATATATTTTTTCTATATTTTCATTGACCAGCTATCATCCCCATCCGAACAACAACTATCAGATGTTGAAACTTACCCGAGTTGAAAATTACCAGGGTCTGACCTGTTGATATGCGATTCCAAATGATGATTTTTTGGTAGAGTTCGTTTAATTTGCCAATTTGTTCTATGATTGGTTGAGCACTATAAGAATTACTTGTGAAATGATTTTCCACAAATATTATGAAAAACTAATTTTTCCATAAATATCATGCATCTTTATGAGCAATTTTGAATTTTTTCCAGAAACTCTAGTGATTTCAATTGCGGAATCATTAATATGTTTTTACAAATTGGTTTCAGGAAATTATTGAAAACATGTATTGGATAAAACGATAGATACTCACCCTCAATAACTACTTGCATGAATAATTTCTTCTTTGAACTCCGTTGTGTGTAATATATTTGGAACACTTTCTGCCAACTTGTATTATATGAGAATCTAGAGAACCTCTACTCTTTTGACTGATAACTAGTCCGAAGATCATCAGTACAATCAGCATAATTTTCAAATCCATCTTTAACGAAGTGAATTTCTCAATGATATATATACTAGAATGATATGAGGTTCCCATCAATTATCGTTGTTATGTTGAATTATTGCTCTCGAATCAAAGTTCAGCGTCAGACAGAGTGATGGTAGATAAGAGAGCATTGAGATAAGAGAGCCATGAACAAAATTCGTCGAAACGAATATTTTTTCAATAATATTTTATGGTCGGATGAATCGACATTCCATAAAAATGGATTTGTAAATCGACATAATTACCATTATTATGCGACAGAAAATCCTCACTTATTGAGACAGGTGGATTATCAACATAGGTGGTCGATAAATGTCTGGGGAGGCATCATTGGAGAATATGTAATTGGTCCATACTTTTTTGAGGGACATATGAATGGTGCAATGTATCTCAATTTCTTACGAAATGATTTACCAGGTTTGTTAGATGATATTCCTCTTGACCTCCGCAATAGAATGTNACTGAATGAAATATTCCTGAATATTGTCATGTTACAAATATTAGAAATGTATTCAAATTAGAATGTTCCTACTCTCAAAAAAATGTATACTGAAAAATATACTACAATAACATTTAGCAGCACTAATTAAAAAATAATAAATATATCATTTCATTAAAATAGTGAAAATATATTACATGAAGAAATGAGCGAGATATAGGTATCTCACTTCAAAAAATATACCCACAAATTAAGTATTTCAAATGAGTGGTATGATGGGTTCTTCAATGAATTTCACTAATTTAAAATTGGCCAAACTTTGCTCACCAGAAGAGTTTTCCTGATATTTGTCTAACAATGCATCAACCAGTGTTTCAATATTGATACCTGGAATAAAATGTACACTAACGTTCATTATCACTATTTGAAAGTGGCACAATGAAATTGAAATAAAAATCATATATATTTTTCTCATAGGTTTCTCATAGGTTCATGAGGAACCTATGGCGCACCTGCCTGTACCAGGTTCCACTCCGTTTCCTTTTGGGCCTATTGATACTATCTTGAAAAAGAGCGATGAAAATTATGAAAACAAATGATAAAAAAGAATGTGTCATTCACTTACTTTTCTCTACTGAAGACACACAACTGAAATCACTCTGGTTCAAACATGTACTTAGTCAAACCAAAAAATCCCACACACCAAATTTCTTTGGGCCTAAAATGAGGTATAGTAGGTTAAGCACCATGACTTTACTATCAATACTATTGCCTTTTACTTACTTTTCAAGATTGTCGCGCGCTACGCTTCAATTGACCAATGAGAAACGTTTACTCCAATACTTTACTTCCCCATTTCTCTGTTGCCAGGATTTGTCGCTTTTTAATTGAACAATTTCAAATACAAAAAGACAAATAGGAGAATAAACCGATTTATTGATGCAATTGGTTCATTCATTGGCCCGTTGGAATTTTTTGTCGTTTCCAACAGTTGCAGTCGGAGCAATTCATCAGAATCTTCGCGTCGAGTTCAAAAACTGGTTAGCACTATTAGGGTTTTATACATTAGGTTATGCATTCTATTGAAATATTTTTGTTTTTAATAATATTGAATTATTCGAATACGTTATCAAAATTCCAGTAATACACCGTATAGAATATTCCAAAATATACCGTGGGGATATATTCTAAAAATATACCATATAGTATATTCTACCGATGATACTCTTAGAAAATTCACGGGAGAATAATCCATTTATACACATTCTTTGCACATTATTCCGGGAATAATACTGCCATATTCATTCAAGCATATTCTATGAATATTCTGAAGGCATGTATATATTCCAAGAATATTCTATGAATATTTGGAATATATACGTTCGTTTTATGATATACAGGGAATATTCCATGAATATCTAGTGCTGTGTGGG